ACCATTTTACTCTTTTCCACATTGATCTTCAAACCCATAATAGTTTGAGAAGATACAAAGAGTTGCCGTCAAATTCATTACCTTCTCCTGAGAGGCATTACAGAAAATCAATGAAATCATGCCCATAAAAATTATGTGTAACCTCGCCTGTGGAAAGTGCCCTCAACCACGAAGAACCCAAAAATTTTGGCTCGCCTCTCTTAAGCTCTCCAACATTATGAACATAACATCCATGACCAAGCTAAATAGAAATTGAGACATTAGATCTCCCACCTCAGTCCTCTTTCAGTCTTGAAAAAACTAGTAACCTCATCATTAACAAGATAATTTGTCTCTTGTTTTGCCTTAAAGGCTTCAACAGCTGGACAGGGCAGAATCTGTCATGGAGCACAAGTACACGGAACTATTGGGTTGAACTTTGAATACTCTTCCCATAACCCCTTCATCAATGTATAGTATTGAATTATGGTCATGTTTCCTGGCTTACAGGCATGAATATCATCTTCCAGGTTGGTCAATTTTACAGCATTAGCTTGACCAAAACTTGTCTCTCAGTTCTTCCCACAGATTCTGTGCTACTTCATGATTTTGAACACTCCGTTTGATATCCTTGTAAAAAGAATTGATTATCCAACAGAGAACAACAGTATTGCAAGCATCCCATGCCCTATACTCATTTGGATTTGTCCTAGGAAATGGGACTTGAACAGTACCATCGATGAACCCAAGCTTGTACTTGGTTTTGAGAGCTATGTGAATAGATCTAGCCCACATTTGGTAGTTGCTACAATCTAGCACTTCAGACACGATAGATGGGGAAAGATTCTCGTTAGGGTTTTAATAGAAAGGATTGCCGAACTGGAAATCAGGAGAAGGTTGAGGTGGTTGTGTTGATTTTGTGGCTGCTACACTTGTAGTTGATTGAGCAGTTGACCCAGACGTGGGTTGTTCTTCATGCCCACTCATTGTGACTTAAAACTGCTGCTCCGATATGAATCAGACTACCTGAATGGCGTCGTGCTCTGATACCATAAGAGAATGGGAAGAAGGCCTGAGATTTGGGGTGGAGGAGCAGTAGAAAACCTACCGTCCTCTCTTTAGGGATTTTATATTTATAGTGGTTCTCAATGGCTAATATACAGTAATAACCATTAATTGAAATCCATTCACCCAAGCCCGACACGTGGCTGGTTTGTACTCGTTATTAACAGACTAATCTGTATCAGACAAATCAAGACATAAAGAATAAAACGATGTCGCAGTGGAAGTTTCCTTCTTAGTTCCAAACTTTTATTCTTCTCCACTTCAGTCCATCGTGCTGATGCTGGTGAATTGAATCAATCCTTCTCTGATCAGGATTGCAATGCAAGACTGTTGTAGCTGTTGTTCTTCTAGCATCAGCTCCTTGGTGATCCTCCAATAGAGACATAAAGGAAAGGTGGGAAAACAAGCCATGAATCCCATCATTCATTTTCAGGGGAAGTCCAGATTCACAAGAATTTTGAACAAATAGCCCCAATTCACATTATTGCTCTTACTTCTAATATCCATGAGCTTATAAATTACTTTATTCATAGAAAATCAATCAAGTCTAATTTGTGGTCACTGAGGATAAACTCTTCGCCACAGACATAAATGAGAAGAAGTTGACCGCAGAGCAAAAGCCATGTCGTTGGATCTCCCCGTCCTTTTGTTGCACGACTCATTTCAGTAGGGGATTTTCTTCATTATGATTGTGCTTTCTTCTAAATAGGGATAAATAGCTACAAGAATAATTGTAGAGAAATCGATAGCAAGCGCACACTTTAAAAAAAAAAAAAATTTGGATTGGAAAATAGTAGCGTCTGTATATATACCGGAAATAATCTTTTTTATTACTACATTATTTCCGTCATTGGAGATCGATCTTTCATTATTATTCTCAAATTAAGAAGGACGTCACGTGAACATTGAAGCCATGAGACACTAACTCGTTCTCGAATCATTGATAATGTCAATGCGAGTTGGAGGGACAATTAGTTTAAAGTGCGTTGTTTTGCCATGTAATGATGGACTATTAGGTTTTTTTTAAAAAAATCTTTTTTATCCCTCGTAACTCCTAATCCTTCTTCAAATGGATTACTATGGATACAAAAGAAGTCGTAAAGGGAAACAAGGCAGGTTATCTGGTGAAATCAAAATTATGGCAAAAAAGTAAACATGACATGACAATTTTTGACCATTTATTCTATTCCTACAAAATATAGGACGAGTATCCTAGCAATTAAAACTCATTAGCTGATTTTCCTTATTTGATGAAAAAAAAATGGGGACGTTTTAGGTTGGAAAATAAAAAATTATCATGTCAAATAAAAAAACAAGGAAAAATAATAATTCTGGCGCTATACTTCACAAAATTATACTCGACTTCTTCATGTATAAATATCTGTTACTTTAGGACATAATAATATAAAGAAAAATCGAGACATTATTTGTTGAGAAAACATAACAAAACATCATTATTACTAGTCTTTTACTTGCAAGTTGCACCCATGGAGCCTGGACAGGAAGCCAGCGGATCTCATCAATTTCCCAATGCAATGCCATTGCAACCTAAGGTATGATGTATTTTCGTTTCAAATATTTTTTTCGATCGATTGTTTTAAATTTGTTTTTATGTTCATAGACATCAATTTAAGTGAAACATTTAAATCAATTGAAAACACTGTATTTCATAAATTCCATCGATATTCTAAAGAAGGCTCGCGTATACTATTTTCAATGAAGTTGAAACCCTATAACCAATTGGAAACCATATACGTTATAAATAAGTGTGCTATATTATTATTTCAACTCCATCATATATTCATATCCCAATTTGTTATTCTATCGCTTATTTGATATTTTCCATTAAACAAATTTACATGAACAATTACAAAAGAAGAAGAGATGACTGCCAATGCATTATAGGCGCTAAAGGCCCTTACTAATAATCCAAGAAGTGGCTTACTTTGTTCAACCCATATCCAAAAATAAGAAGACCAACAGTTTGGGCCGATAACAGCGTAACGGAGCCCAAAACACTTTATCAACTAAAAAATAATCATTGATAATGATGCCACATGAAAGCTTGATTAATAATTAACAACGGCGATCTGGCTCGTTTGCGTGGAGATTTAGGAGCTTAAACCGGGAATGGGTGATTAGGTTAGTGCATAATCCATAAAAAAAAAGAATTATCCCCAAAACTCTTCTGAATTCTGATCTCTGTTCCGTTATGTGGGCCCATCAGTTTTATATATTACAAAACGGGTACCAGACAGACATCATGCTCCGTTAGTTACAAAATACACAAGCATGAATTTTATCGCAACATCATATTTGTCTTTGCGGGAAGAAGTTCACTACAAAAGGGTAAGTACTAATTAGTCATGTAATTTATAGGTTTCACTGATTTTGGTCTCCAAGATGTACTTCCTCGCCATTTCACCCATTTACAAAGAGGCCGCTAGATAGCCATAACATCATCTCTACATCTTTTCCTTCCTTTGATAACATGTAATCGATGCCGTGATAAGATGGTTCAAACGTGCCCCCACGAGTTCTAGTGTTTACAGTTAAAAAAAAAAAATCGTGTACCACATTAATTATTTACAAGGCATTTTTTATCTTTATAAGGCCAGATCATTAATGACAATTAATGTTAGTTGAACTGGGCCTCGTGATAATAGTTTTAAGCCCCAAACTACTAAGTCTCCAAAAAGGAGCTAGTCTCGTCGCGAGTTGAAGAGCCCGGCGTGGTCGCGAGATCTAGACCGCGTTGACATCAAGCCTAGAGCCCGACGTGGTCAAGAGATCTAGAGCACGTTGGCGTCAAATCTAGAGCCCGACGTGGTCAAGAGATCTAGATCGCGTTGGCGTCAAATCTAGTGCCCGACGTGGTCGCGAGATCTAGACCACGTTGGCGTCAAGAGGGGAAGGCCCTCGTCTTGAGATATGGACTGACCATGGTAAAAGGGAGTCAAGTAATAAAATATCAGTTCCAAAAGAAAGAGAAAGCGGTTAACATAGCAACTGCCAATTATCCCACGTACAATGACACGTCCGAGGAACAAGGGGAGCAGTTCTTTTTGTAAGTTACTCTCAAACAGTTTTTCTACGACGGTTATCATCTCAAGCCTATAAATAGGAGGAGGAGTTGAGAGAGGAGGGGTTCGCAAAAATCACCACTCGACACCACTTGTCAAGTTTTATCAATTTTATCTTTCCTCTGCAATTTTTATCAGTAGTCGTAGATCTGGAGCTCTCTCAGAACCTCTATAAGAGTAGGGTAATTTAATGTAGATTTCTGTCTCGTGAGTCGTGTAAACATCGAACACCATCGTTCAAACTTTGTTTGAAGAGGTGTAAACCGTGTTTAGTGATCGTTGTCCAAAAAAATCAAGATGCATTCAATTCGTTTCAACGCAAGTTTTCTCAGTAAATTATAGGGCAATGTTACTTTTCGTGATCAACTTACTTTTCACCTTATGCAATACAAGTTTAGGAAGTTACTGCTTTCATGTTAAGTGTATTACTGAATGGTGGCTTGTGGGCATTCTCTTTTATAGAAAAGGATTTGGACTAGATGACCAACTCTCTCCCCTTTTGTGCGGTGTGTATTGCTAAGAAAGTCCTCTACTATACTTATAGGACAATATTACTATCCACGATAAACGAACTTTTTTCTCTCGTGAAATGCAAATTTAGATCACTTATGATTTTTTGCTTCTCTACTGATTTCACAAGAAAAATGTTTAGATGGACTGATAAATACTTTGATGAATATGAAGTTCTCTAATTTCATGCTCTTTAGCAGCATGTACCTTTGCTAGAACAGAAAGGACTAAAATGTTAAAAGAAGTATTTTACGGTCAAAATTGTTAACGAGGTTGGTAATATGGACAAACTGTAGTACTTAACTATAAGACAAAGCACACTAAATATTTAATTAATTATATAAAATTATAAATAGAATTTTCATGAAAACATAGAAGGAGAAATTGGACATAGAGAACGGGGAAGGGGCGCCGGAGGAGGTGAGCAGCGGCGGAGGGAAAAGAGAAGGCGGCGGTTGAGAGAGAGAGAGAAGGTGGGAAATGCGAGAGGAAGGTGCGACCATTTCAAAGCGAAGTTATCGGCGAATCGAGCCCAATCAGTAATCGTTCGACAGAGAATAGAGAGAGAAAGAGAAAGCGACGACGATGACGATGGGGATGATCCCTCAGAGCATTGTCGGTATCCTTCTCCTTATGCTGCTCCTCGTCCTCCTTCTCATCCTCATCGCCTGTAAGCCATGGCGCCTCTGCCTCTCTTCTTCCTCCCGTTCTCGTTCTTCTTCTCTTAAGGTACCTAAACCACATCATTTTCACCTTCCTTCCTATCGCTAATTAGGTTTCTGTTCCTGCAAGCATTTCATCTCCCCTGATGTGATCGCTTGTTGCTAGCGGGTGATCGACTGCGGTTTCCTTTCGGCTACCGGAGCTGATATTTCGGCCGTTTGTTGCATTTCTACTTTCTATTGTCAAACACGAACACCTAGCTGCGGCGATCGCCTCTTCTTTCTCTATTCAATTCGTGCATCGAATTTAAATTTTATCGCCGCCGGTGGGGATTTGGTACTTCGCGTGGTTGAGACGAGGAATGGGAAGTAATGCTGAGGATTTCCTCTAGCTGTTAGCTGTTGGCTGTGGAAGTGAATGATATTGATAAGACTGGTGATCGGATGCATAGTTGATGAATTAGCATTAACAGTATGTTATTGATTGTTCCCAACATCTGGTTAGTTGATTGGGAGATCAATCAAACTCTGGATTTCATACCCTCTGTTACTATTTGCATTAGGGATTTATCAGCTTCCATTCCTTGTTTAAGGGAGAGAGATAGGTGTGTTTTGAAATGCATTTGTCAAATCACCGGGGTTTGATGCTCTGTTCCTCTGCATCAAGTTTGCATTATGGAACCAATGTCATATGCGGCAGGAAAGTAGTTTCAAAACTTCATAGCGATTATCAGATTTTCAAGTCTTGGTGTACCAGTTCACGGACTGGTAGTTAGATTTTTCTTAACCTGTTCGTTTGAGCAATGCCAGTACATTGGTCACGCAATAACCCAAGTTTCCCATTTTTTGTTTATACATCTTTTCTCTTAATCGATGATGAGGCCGAACATGTTTCCCATATTTAATCACAAAGTGAAAGTTTCTTTTGGCCATGCTCCGTTTGTGCTTGATCATTGATGTTCTAACATTTGAGTTGATTCTTGTTAGATTGGGGGGGAGCTAGAGAGGCCTCTTGTTTCGGATGATGTGGATGCACATGATGACAACAATGAAGGTGGAAGAACCTATGATATTGAGGGAGCTTGTTATCAAAATGATGGGCTTTTGCGTGCACCCCGCATGGAGGGGCTTGTCCATAAACCAAGGCTTCCTCCTGTATCTCCTCATGTGACTCCCCAAGGTTTTTTTACCACCATGTTCCTTCATTCTGTCTGTGCTACTTTTGAAGAAGCTAGGGTTTTTCTTTTGCAACATTGCTGAAATGCTGATATTTGGATTTTTTTTTCTTCATATTAGTTGATAGCTTGATCTTAGAGGTAGTTCCAGATCCCGTGGAGGATGTTTCTGTTGGGCAAACCCTTAAGTACTCTCCACTGGCTGGACGCTTACCCGATGTGCAGAAACATTTTAGACCAGAAAATCAAATTCCTAATGTAAAGCCTGGTTCACAAAGCAGCAGGCTACCAGAATCCACAGCCAAGGTTATTGATCATCAGGGTAATTTCTTCGGCTTTCTCCTGCCACAAATCTATTTACTCTTGTTTGCAGCAATCTTGTGCATTTTCATCTATGTGAACGTGATTTTCAGCTAATCTACATTATTTTATCCCAATGTGAAAAACAAGTTGTAATACTTTTCGGTTAGCATTGCAGGAAGCTGCCTCTCCCTTGAGGTTATTTCTGGTCCTTCTAGTGGACAACGCTGCTCTGTACAATCAACGAATGCTTCACGGGTTTCTGTGACCCTTGGAAGAGTTTCTAGTGACTTATTGCTCAAGGACTCTGAGGTTTCGGGGAAACATGCTATGATCAACTGGAATGCCGATGTAACTTTCTGATACCTCCACAACCATAACTTGACTGTGCTATCTATAATTTGCCTAGAGGCACTTACTATATTATTCTTGATCCTGATGGCAGAAGAAGAAATGGGAGGTTGTTGACATGGGTAGCCTCAATGGAACACTGTTAAACTCCAGGCCAATCAATCACCACGATCCTGGAAGTAGGCAGTGGGGTAGGCCTGTTGAGCTTTCAAGTGGAGACATAATAACTCTTGGCACAACATCGAATGTACAGGTAAGCTTATCTCCTCCGTGATATGCAGCTTGTTGTGTCATGTATGACACTGTTGGTTGAACAATTAACTGGCTTGCCCTAGAAGATTCCAGATTCATGCTTGGTTGAATCGTGATTTCTTCAATCCCATAAGACTTAGGAATGACCTGGGGGTTCTGTTTATGTCTGAAATACATCTGTTGTCACATTGCCTAAAGATTGTGAATAAACTCATGGTTAATTATCCTGGTTGATGTACATATAGTGATGTGGCTGACATACTATCACTAATAGGTTGTATACATGCTGTTATCTTATTATTAGTCATCAACTTTAGGGCTTTCTAGACTCATGTTGCTGCAGGTGAAAAGTTTCTAGCTCCACTATTATTAACTGAAACCTGCAAGCTTCTGTATCTAGTGCCTATTTTAGTGATGACAATATGAACCTGAATTGTAATTTGTGTACCCTTGCTCCCTGATTTTGATGCATTCCTTGTGGGTTTTCCTTCATGCAGGTTAATGTAACAACCAAGTCTGAAACCAGGATACCCTTTGGCATAGGCATGGCTTCAGATCCCATGGCTTTGCGCCGTGGAGGAAAGAAGCTAGCTATGGAAGATGTGTGCTATTATTCCTGGCCCCTCCCGGACATTCAGGAGGTTCTTTATTTCCTGAAATGTTATTTCGGTTGATGTTCTAGTGCTTTAGCCTGAAAATGCTAAATGCTGCAAATCTAAATCTTGCAGTTTGGTGTTTTTGGGATTTGTGATGGGCATGGTGGAGCAGCGGCTGCAAAATCTGCCAGCAAGTTAGTATTCTGGATTAAAACTATCTCAATCTCATATATCTTAAAAGACCCCTCAGAGCAAGGTGCCCGCCTATTTGGTGTGCCTTGCCTTTCCATGGCAAGCACCTAGTTGCTCCGTTGGCCATATGCTACGGAAGCAAACCTCTCCTCTAGGGTGGTTGAGGTGTCATCTTTAACGGGACGATCTTATTGCTCTTGTATATTTTCATAATTAGTCATCTTTTACCTTTTGTGCAGGATGTTGCCGGAGAAACTTGCCAGTATTTTATCGGATCCTGCAATGAGGGAGAAAGTGATATCACAAGCCAACGCTGCAGATGTTCTTAAAAGTGCATTTTCCCAAACAGAGGCTTCCCTGACTAACTATTACGAGGTCTTCCCTCATCTTAATCTTGTCTATTTTATTATTACTTTTCTACAAGGAATGTGATGCAAGCTTTGGGACTTTGTAACCACGCTTCAGTTGTTTGCTTATCAAATCTTCAGTCTATCTTCCTGAAAAATCTCTGCTTGACCATGCACCTGCACTCTGTGTGCGTAGCAGCTCTGCTTATGAAGTATTGTTATTTTGAAGAACTTGGATAAACAATTCAGATACTGCGCTGTTCTCTTACACATTCAGCCATTGTTGGTATCAATGTGATAAATAATTCAATGGTTCATATCTTTATAAAGAAAATCTGTGTTCCCTTTCTTTATATTCTCTTGACCCCTTCTTCTTCAATGGCGTTTGAAATAGTAACTGGCAGCATTGATATCTGTTCAGGGTTGTACAGCAACGGTGCTTCTGGTTTGGACTGATGGTGGCAAACGTTTCTTTGCTCAATGTGCAAATCTTGGGGATTCTGCCTGTGTTGTAAAGTACGCTGCTATTTTTTTTTTTTTGGCAAAAATAACAACAACAAAAATCTGTTTTATCCTTATTACGATATTCACAGTTGCAGTGTACGATTTTCAGTGTCGATGGGGAGCCAATCAAGATGACAGAAGACCATAGAGTGTCTAGTCACTCTGAGAGACTTCGAATCAATGGAATAGGAGAGAAGCCTTTAAGAGATGGTGAAACACGTCTTTGTGGTTAGTAGATTGTCCACTGCGTTATATGTTCCAGTCCTTCATGGTAAATTTCAAATCGTTGCCTTACTCTTTTATCAAACTGGTACCCAGGTTTGAATCTTGCTCGAATGCTGGGAGACAAGTTTCTGAAACAGCAAGATGCTCGCTTCAGTTCTGAGCCTTACATAAGTGAAGTTGTGCACATAGATCAGTCAAGCTCAAGCGGCTGCTTTGCACTTTTAGCCAGGTGAGTTTTTAGTTTGCCACTGGTCTTGTTCCTTCAAGAACAAACGATATAACATACAGAAAACATTTACTTCATCATTTGAGTTCACTCAATTAAGCGTTTTTCCAATCATGTGAAAATTTTCGCAGCGACGGGTTTTGGGATGTTGTCAGTGTTAAAAAGGCTGTCCAGCTTGTCCAGCAGGCTAATGAGAAGGAGCATGCAGAAGGGGAGAATCCAGCGGAGAAGACTGCCAATGTGCTGTTGAACGAAGCTAGAGCACTGCGTACGAAGGATAACACCTCCGTACTTTTCTTGGATTTTGATACCAAATTTAGGTCGTCGCCTTGTAAAGTTACAGCCGCGTAATACAAACAGCCAGTCTGTTTAGCGTAGCAGAACAATGTTTCGTTTTTCTTGTTTTGAGGTGTCTATAACAGAAGTAAGATGATACCATGATGCTGAAAACACAGTGGCCGCCTGTATCAGCAACTTTGTGGAGCTGAAGTTCGAAGCTGCGGAAAAGTCGCCGCAACGTTGCTTGGTTGTCAAGGCAGTGCTACCTACCGGAAATGGATATTTGAAGCAAAATTGATTTGGCCTGATGTGACGGGGGATTACAAGTCTTGGTGGAATAAGAAAGGTTTGTTTTAGAAATGTAGCAATAGGAAGGTCAATAGAAATGTCGCAATAGAGTTATTATAGCTTTCTTGAAACTAGGTCGAACTCACTTTACCAAGAAAATGACATTGGAATCCCTTTACCTTTCTTTGACATCGATTACAGTTATATGCATCGTCATATGAATTCTCCTAACCAGGGTAAAAAAGTTTCTCCACTGGATCCCACTCTTTACAGAAGTCCAGAAATTATGGGTAGTCATGTAGTTTGGGCTGGCCCATTATAACAGACTCAACTGAACTGTCCGAGGAACAGCTCAAGCCCAAAGAAATTGGTCGTTAATCCAAAACCCTTGCTAAAACCCGCGTCAGGTGAGCTGAGCACTGAAGAAGAACGCTCCGGGAGAGAAAAGGAGAAAGGGAAATGGGGAAGAAGAAAAGGAGAGCTGAAGTTGAAACTGAACCTGAACTACCTGAAGCAGCTACTGTATCAGCTGACAAGGCCGATGGTGATCAGGGTTTCATCAATGGAGATTCCAACAAAAAGAAGAAGAAGAAGACGAGGAATGTAGAAAATGAAGGAGGCGATGAGAAAGAGACGGAACGAGAGGACGGAGCCAAGGAGCTGCATACCGTTAGCGTAGCCGTATCCGGTTCCATTATCGATAACGCTCAATCGCTTGAACTCGCCACTCGCGTAATCCTCTTCCTCTACTTTGCTCTCTCCTCCAATGGCGCGTTTACTGCCTAGGGTTTTAATTTCTATCAGGAAAAGAAATTTGAACTCTCTAATTTTTGCTTATGGCTAGTTTTTCCATCTTGTTTTGTTTTCTTAGCTGGCTGGTCAGATTGCTCGTGCCGCCACCATCTTTCGGATTGACGAGGTTTTGGCTCTAATCTTACTTGAACCAGTGTTCTTTGATTTCATACATTATCTCAGTGATATGAACCCTAGGTTAGCGTTGACAGGTGGTGGTATTCGATAATAAGGCCACTTCTTCGAACGAGGATCCCACTACAACAATGAACAGCGTTTCAGATGAGAATGAAAGTGGGGCGGTTTTTCTAGTCAGGATCTTGAGGTATCTTGAAACTCCGCAGTATCTGCGGAAGGCTCTGTTTCCTAAACATAATAGCTTACGATTTGTGGTGAGTGATTGATTCAGACTGCTTCTGGTTGTAATGTTTGTGTTTTAAGGTGTGTTCTTTTTTACTTCATTGTTCATGATGGTTGATGAAGAACATTTCTTTCTTTTCTTATTCTTCTTCCACAGGGAATGTTGCCTCCGCTAGATGCCCCACACCACCTTCGCAAGCATGAGTGGGGGCCATTCCGGGAAGGTGCGGGTCTTGCTTAACTCGTTAATAATGTATTTTTTGTTTGTTTCAGTTTGAGACTAAATGACTTAAGTTGCATTACACTACAGGGATTACGTTGCTTGAGAAATGTCCAGACCCTGCTGGGACACTGGTTGATGTAGGTCTGACCAAGGTAAGATTTTGTTGACATCAATTCTACATTTGTGTGTGGTTTTGCTGGCTGGCTGCATGAATATCATTCTCGGTGTATATGGTGATTTACATGCTTCTTGCTATTATCTTCACTAGCTGAAAATTGAGTGAATGATTTTGCATGTGTGCTTGATTCTATTTCGTCTTGAATCACGATTTATGCAATCTTTCTGTGATCCATGTTTGACCTGCTGCTTAACTCTTTTATGCTCTAGGATCTAGATAGAAGAAGTCTTCAGTAATGTGATGTTTTACAGATCTCAAGCTAAATTATGCAGAATGTTGTGATTGATCAACGAATTGAAGCAGGGACAAGGGTAACGGTAGCTATGGGAACTGATCGGAATTTGGATTCAGGTGATGAACGTGCCCTTTTATCTCATAGAATGATTCAGTTCTCGAACTAAAGATAGCATTTGACACCAAAAGCAGCCAGACAGCTGCGACTGTTAACTGATCCCTCTGGAGGATCTTCTTTCCCTTTAGCTTTCTTTATTGAAAATGCCATTTCCTTGTGCTCTCTGGTGGCACCTGAGTGTGCCCTGAATGTTGACAATATTGCATACGGGGTGCTGCTAAACTTTATCTACTCCTAAGATTTTCTATGCTCACAATTGCAGGCATTCCACGACCAATTGTTCCATTGTCCAAGCCCAGGGAGGAATCAGGAATGTACTGGGGTTACCGAGTGCGATATGCTTCAAATATCAGTTCTGTGTTCAAGCATTGTCCATTCAAGGTATTGATCTTATGCTATCTGTGTTGTTTTTTTATGGCATGTGTACTTTTTTCTGCTACTGGTAAGCTATATGTAATAAGACTTAGTACGTGTTTACACCAATTGCAGGGTGGATACGACCACTCTATTGGTACATCTGAGCATGGTCTAAAATTAAGTTCATCAGAGCTTTCTCTGCCTCCTTTCAAGTAATGTTCTTGTTCCTTTCCTCTTCCCAATCTTCCTTTTATTCCTTCAATCTGTTAGTTGTGTGTCTGAACTGTTTCATGTGTATATGCTCTAGTTTGTTAAGATTCTTGAGCTTTTGTAATCTTCGTGTCTCAATCTACTAAGGAGTTGGTAAAGATTCATGTAATAGCGTGGAGTGTGTCAAGTAGTTGCTACCATAAATCTAAGTTGATTATCAATATCAAATTACTTTGTGGTTGCTAATAATTTGACTGTCGTCAACATCATTCTAGGCATTTGTTGATTGCTTTTGGTGGACTTGCTGGGTTGGAAGAAGGTGTTGAAGAAGACAGCAGCTTAAAGGTACTATTCAATCTTCCTGTAGTATAAAGCTGAAATCTTCGGGATGCTTTTTCACTTACTTGAATGCGAGCTGTACCTCAACTCCACTCTGCAATTCATACTCTAGCTTATTCATGCTGTTTTTCCCCCCCGCATCTCTCTCAAGGGCACAAATGTCCGAAAGGTGTTTGACTCATACCTGAACACATGTCCAGATCAAGGGAGTCGGACAATTCGAACAGAGGTTTGTACCCTGTCATTGTTCATCAGTATGTTTTCCCTTACAAAAATCATCGTACTAATAAATATGGGTATTCACAATGGTTTTTTTTTTTCCTGGGCCAACTTCAACAGGAAGCAATCCTCATATCCCTCCAATATTTCCAAGAACCTATAAACCGCTCTCTGCAGAGATTTCATCACTGAGTTCAACAACTTTGGACATAAGCAACTCTCGAGACATTATGAGCTGTGACAAGTATACGACCGATCATATTCGTGCCTAAACTCTTGCGCGAAGGATGACGAGGATCTTGCAATCTTTCAACGAGCTAGTAGGTTCAGATTTTGTAACTTCATCTTTCTCTCTCCTTTTATGTTTCTGTCTATCTGGGACGCCCAGGTTAGGTAAAATTTTTGTTTACCTTCTGGAATCGTTACATTGAAATGTGAATTCATCAAAGCAAATCGCTAGATGGTGGTGTAGACTATTACTAAGAGTCGAGATGATTATCTTTGGCTTCCATATTTGAATGTTGAGGTTTTGATCTCTTGTTTCTTAGAGCATGGTAAGCTGGTAAAAGAGCCATAACCGAATTCATTGCTTTTCAAAATCAATTGCTCTGCAAAATTAACTTTCAAATGAAATGTTATGATATTAAAAATAGTAAATGATGGTATTTTGACCGCCACGTAGGAAGTCAACTCATTATGGTCATACTTATTCAGCATTACTAACAGAAAAGTTGATGGAGAGTTAACGTTTGGATAATTTTTAGGAATTCAATAGGTTTGGTTAAAATAAAAGAATCTGAAAAAGGTTTGGGTAAAAAATAGACATTGCCCTTGTTTTTATAAGGACTACAAAAAATGTGAATATGCAGTGAATAAACAAATGAGAAATGGGGACGTGAGTAGGGATGGCAATGGGGCGGGTTTGGGGCGGGTAGGAATGGCAATGGGACAGGTCCGGGGCGGGTTTCTTGGTACCCAGACCCGCCCCGTGGCAGGGCGGGTCCAGGTCGGGTAATTGATCACGGGTCGCGGGTCGGGGCAGGTCGACCCAATGGGTATGCAATTTGTTTGAAAAACATTAGAAATATTCGTTATTTTTATTATAAAACTAAGAAAATAAACAATATTATGACAATTGTAGTTAAATTATTGGAGAAGTTGAGGTTTTCACTAATTTACAACTTTATTATAGCTAAAATATGATGCGATAGAAGTAAAATTCAAAGTAATTTGACTAAGATTTCATGTAATTTAGACAAGAACGGGTCGAGAATGGGGCGGGTCAGGGCAGGTCGGGTCGATGAGACTACCCATGCCCGCCCCGCCCCGCCTACAGGGCGGGTCGGACCCGCCCCAAAACAGGTCAAACAGGTCGGGTAAAACGGATCAGGTCAAAATTGCCATCCCTAGGGGCGGGTTTGCCTAAACGATCCCCATCCCCATCTTCAAATACCCAAACCCATACCCGCCCCATACCCATGTGGGGGAATGTTTTGCAAACCCATCCCCATACCCGTGGGTTTCGGGTACTAATGGGTAATACCCATCCCCGTACATCCAACATTATTATACCTAAAACTTACAAGAAAAGTTTTAATTATAACCATAAACAAACCTATTATATCACGAAGTCAACAAAACACGGTCATTTTCTAAATACGATTCAAAGAATATGATCCTAAAACATCCATTAATACATAATATAGACTATAATATTTTTTAAATTATTATGCTCTAACTCTTGATACATTTACTAAGTAATAATTAACTAACATAATTTTGTTGACAAGGGGAAATGAAAGAGTGGAAGGAGAATTGAGGGAAATGAATTAGGTTTTGATTAAGGTGGTTACTCAATTGCATTTCTACTATTTATTTTCTCGAGTTATCATCATCATCATTGATAGATTACAATTTAATCCACGTATTTTTTGATATGTGAAGAAATTCTCTTGGTGGGGCGGGTATGGGTATGGGTATGGGGCGGGGGAGGCTAAAACCATACCCGCCCCATACCCGCCCCATACCCATCAAACCTTTTGCGGGTTTTACCCATACCCGCCCCATACCCGGTCAAAGCGGGGATTCCCCGCGTTGACTGGGTATGGGGCGGTCGGGTACCCGCGGCCATGGGTTTGATTGCCATCCCTAGACGTGAGGTCTTTGGCCGACTGGGGAACGGCTGCGGCTGGAACTTCTTCCTCCGGCTTCATCTTTCTCCTTCCCGGGTCAGCGGCTGGACCTTTTTCTTTCTCCTTCCTCAACAACAACAGCCTGCTGCCGGTTTTGGGGAACGGCAGCGGCGGCCAGAAAGGGAAGAGCTTCCAGAAAAAGAATGCAAAGTTCTCTATCGGGATGATTGAAGCAAGCCAAGAAGAAGAATTGCTCTAATGAGATGTGTGCTAAGCAAGGGGTAGCTTTTCACCACCATCGCAGTGGCATTGCCCGGGGAGACTTCTTTCCATCACCAGTTGCTCTTCTTCATCTTTCTCTCTCCTTTTATGTTCAATTTCCCTCATCTTGTCTCCCGTTAAAAGGTCCGACGGATTAATCATGTACTCGCTGCTGCTGGTTGATCCTCGATGGTCTCCCCTTGCCGGCGATTTCATGGGCTCAACCCAAGAAAGTCTCCGATGGGGATGGTGTAATAATTGTGATGTATCCAATTGTGATGTGTAATGAGGGATGGTGTATTAATTGTGATGTCTCCCATTGCAGTCTTCAATATTTTGGTCGATAGCTGGAGTTGGTTGGTGCAGATTTTTTTTTTTATATAAAGGCGATGAATAAAATTAAAAAGAAACAAAGAGTTTGATACAAGGAGGATCAAGAGAATTGATCCGAAAGCAGCAAGACACAAAGACCTGCTCAGCGGACCAGACCGCTTCTGCAGAAAGGGGAAACAAACAAAACGAGAAAGAAGACAGAAGAACAGCCAAATACACCAGCACTCCAAGCACAAGCACGCCGGGAACAGGGAGGCCTAGGAACCGGCTTCAAGTCTAGTATTTCCAACGAAAGGGAGCGGGCAACACTGATGCATAAGAGCTAACCACTCGAGACGGCGATCATCATTCAAGATTCCAGTTGCCCTAACCCAACTCAAAAGAACTCTGCAAATCTTATGAAAGATCACACGCCAATGGGACGATTTATCATGGAAAATCCTGGCGTTCCTCTCCTTCCAGATCTCCCAGGAGAAGGCATGTAAGAGACCAGATGCGAAATCAATATTGTCACTGTGTTTGGCTGCAACGACTCCAACACCTGATGAAAGACACAAAACGGTCGGGAAAGGGTCCGTGGAACTCAATCATCAGCTGGATGTTAGACCAAATTTTGCTATAGAAGGAGCAATGACAGAACAGATGGTCAATGTTCTCCTCCTCAGAATTGCAGAGAGCACATCTGCTGGCCAGATTCCAACCTCTCCTCTTTAAATTGTCATGAGTAAGGTGCAGATATTGATGGTTTCCTACACTCCCCTCAAGCGAAGACATGAATGTCGAGAATGTCGAGCTTGACTGTGACAGAGAAATGATATCTTGGATAAGGTTGATTTGGAGACTGATGACTGCGTCTCTTCGAGCAACTTGAATCGAATGGGACTTTCTTCTAGAAATGATGAAGAGATTAGGGTTTGATGAGAGGTTCACTTACTGGATTCGACAATGCATATCTTCCGTTTCTTTTTCTGTCTTAATTAATGGAACACCTCATGGTTACTTTCGACTCACAAGGGGAATACGTCAGGGTGATCCTTTATCCCCTTTGTTGTTTGCTATTTGTTCGGAAGGCTTCTCAGCCTTAATCAACCAGGCGATAACAGTTCGATTCCTAAGTGGTATTCGAATTAGAGAACCTTGTCCTACGATTTCTCATCTTTTCTTTGCGGATGACTCCTTCTTATTTCTCCGAGCGACCCTAGAATTGTGTCAGATTCTTATATCGCTTTTAAATGTTTATGAAGGCTTGAGCGGCCAAAAGGTTAACCTCCATAAATCAGCAATCCTTTTCAGTAAGAATACCCAAGCGCGAGCAGTATTAGACATGGCTGGGATTCTGGGAGTAGGATCAATTGGTACAGAGGATCGCTATTTAGGGTTACCAACTCTGATCGATAGATCCAAAAGTGACACATTCCAGTTAGTTGAGGCACGAATCTCAAAAAGGCTTGCAGGATGGAAAAATCGTACTTTATCCAAAGCGGCCATTGACACTCTAATAAGATCAGTTCTTTCTTGCATGCCTGTGTATTATATGTCATGTTTCAAATTTACTATCGACCTATGCAAAAGACTTAATAGACTTCTAGCCAAGTTTCTGTGGGGAGCTATGAGGCATTACAATCACCGAGCTGCGCATTGGATTGCTTGGAAGGATATTTGTCAAAGCAAACAACGAGGAGGCCTTGGATATAGAGACTTTAGGGTCTTCAATCAAGCTCTATTAGCAAAGCAGTGTTGGAGAATGTGAAAAAAACCTGATACCCTCGTTGCACAAATTTACAAAGGTCGATACTATGCCCAAACTTCAATTTTAGAGGCCAAGTTGGGATCTAATTCTTCTTGGGCTTGGCGAAGTATATTATATGGTCGAGAACTACTCCTTCAGGGACTTTGTTGGCAAATAGGAAATGGTGAGAGTGTCCGAGCATTATCAGACTTATGGTTGCCTTCATCACCCCCATCATACCCTAAGCTGAAAGATCAAGCTTCTGCGGAAGAGTCAATCTTGGTATCCTCTTTGATTTGCAAAGAATCCAACCAATGGAGGAAGAGTTTTATCAATGAACTTTTCTCTCCCGATTCCGTATCGCTAATTTGCTCTCTTCCAATTGCTAGACATGACCAACCAGATAGAAGAGTTTGGCATTTTACTACTAACGGCGAATACTCAGTCAAAACAGGATACCATATGGGCATAACCTTGGCTTTATCACATGGGGCTAAGAGTATATCTCAGGTGATGGATGAGGGCTTATGGAAAAAAACAAGGCAACTCCAAATTCCCCCTAAACTTTGATTCTTCATATGGAAAGTTTTAAGAGTTATCTTACCGACCATGGCTATCCTTAAAGCACGAGATGTACCAGTTTCAGACCTTTGTCTAGTTTGTTGCCTTCATGCCGAAACATTGGAACACTTATTCTTTACCTGCCCATTAGCTACTCGACCATGGCGAATGGTAGAGTTGGAGAATATCCTTAATCACACCGCGCAAGAAAATTTTAATACTTGGTGGCGGAGAGTAATGTACTCTATGTACAACCCATACCAGATTCTACAAGTCGTTTGTTTACTGTGGAGAATCTGGAAATCTCGAAATACAGTAGTTTTTTAGCATACTCAACTACTGCCATCCGTACTCGCTGCTCAATTCGCTCACCAAGTACAAGAATTCTCCTCCGCCCATCCATTTGTTCCCCCTCCCCCACCAACGGTCTTCCCATCAGTGCCTCCTTCCTGGACTCCCCCTCCTCTTGGCCATCTCAAACTCAACTTCGACGCAGCTATCCATCCTTCCCGAGGTAGTTCTACAGGATTGGTGTTGAAGTCTGCAGACGACCGTATGCTCCTAGCTTTTGGAATTCAACATC